GCTTGTTTATCCTCAAGCCCCTAAGACCCCAGACGCTTTATCGTTTGATAGCCGGGCACCATTTGCTCTCTTCACCACATTTGCTTATGTACATGTTTGTCTTCAGTGATTGTGTCAGTGAAGCGGGCACCCACTGATATGATTTTCCAGTCTTTGATGTCTGATAACTGATCCCTTCTACACCTCATGATCAGACAGGTTGGTGTGCTTCTTCCATGTGGGCTTTGATGCTTCTCAGCTAGATGGCCATTTGTTTGTCTTCAGCCTTTAAGACCCCAGACGTTATATCTTTTGGTAGCTGGGCACCATCAGCTTTCTTCACCACTTTTGCTTATGCACACATTTTTCTTCAGCAATCGTGTTGGGAAAGTGTGCATCCTGGAATGCCAATTTAATAGAACAACGTGTTCTTGCAATGAGTAAGTGCTTGAGTGGAAGCCCATTGTTTATCTGCTGCCCTAATACTAAACCTGTAAATGTATGCACGTATATCTGTTTCCCCACACTCTTATATAAATATATTTACATATGTACATTCCAGTCTTAAAACCTCTTTACATAACTTTTGTCCCCTAGTTCTTTCCTCTATTTCCCTTTACTTTCTTCTTCTCCCACTATTATGCTCATCCTTTATTTAGGTTTCAGTGATTTCTCTTGGTTACATTGCCCTTGCTGAATCCCTACCAGGCCTCTCACACCCTCCTTGCCATTGATTTTGGATCACTTGTTGCTCCCCTGTCCCTGGGTTGGTCAGCACCACCTCCTTATCCCTGCCTCCCCATCTCCCGTGTGCCCCCGGAACCATTGGTCCCATTGTTTCCTCCTCCATATTATTCATCCATTCTATCTTATCTGGATAGATCTGTAGAGATTATAAGATGCATCAAAAACCAAGCCATAGCAAGATAGGCGATCAGTGAGAACACAGCGATGGCAACAAAAAAAGGAAACCAATTACCCATAGAAGAATAAATTAATTAAAAGAAAAAAAAAATTAAACAGAAATAAAAACCTGTAAATAGATCAAGGTCTGATTTTTTAATCTCTAGGCATGTCCTTCAGTCAGGACCGATGGGGTACCATGCTCTGGCCCCAGAGTCTGTCCTTTGTACTCCCTCAGGGGGCGCTCTGCTCTGCTCCCACAGTTGCTCTGCCGCATGCTTTTAGTGGTTTGCCTCGGTGTCTCAGGGTCAGTCTGGGCCAGTCCCAACACTGAGTCTCCAGTGTTGTCCCCCTTAGAGCCTGGGGCCATCAAGGGACGGCATGTCTCATGGTGGGATCAGCCATATTGTCTACTCTGTCCATTGGCTGTTCAGAGCGGGGGTGTCGTCCTCCACGCCTGGTGGGTCAGGATGTGCTCCACTCTCTCTTCCTCCCCCTAAGTGCTCCCATTTGCTCTGATCAGACATGCCCCTCTCCCCGAGCTGCAGCTTCAGTGCAGTCCTCTCAAGTAAATTATTCTGGGGGGAGGGGCAGTTGTCCCCATAGCTGGCATGGGGGCCGAGCCCTCAGGCCCCTCCACTGGCTCCCTACTCCTTGCCAACAAGCTGCATTCATCTGGAACTGGCTTTAAATCTGGTCCCTCTCTCCCTGTGGAGACACAAACAATACCCTTCTCTTGGGTGGGTCAGTGCCCTATTCCCCAGTCACATATCCTTTTTTTTTTCCCTTTCCCCTCCCCCCCCCCTTTGTGGTTGGCTACCCTATGTACCCCTGGATTTGGTCCTCCAGTTCTTCCCATGCAGCGATATGCTTCATGCGTTCATTGCTGCTTTTTAGTGATGCATAGTACTCCATTGTATGTATGTACCACAGTTTTTTAATCCATTCGTCTGTTGATGGAAATTTGGGTTGCTTCCAACTCTGTGTGATTGTGAACTGTGCCGCGATGAACATTGGAGCACAGATGTCTGGCTGTGGTTTGTTTCTTGCCTCTTCTGGCTATATGCCCATAGGGGGATTGCTCAGTCGTATGGTAACTCAATTTCCATCTGTCTGAGAAATCGCCAAATCGATTTCCATAGTGGCTGTACATATCTACAGGTCCACCAGCAGTGGATGAGAGTTCCTGTCTCACCACAGCCCCTCCAACACTTGTTGCTTTCTGATTTTTTGAATCGGGCTATCTTTGAGGGTGTTAGGTGGTATCTCATAGTTGTTTTGATTTGCATTTGTC